CACCCATCACAAGTTCAAGAAAGCCTGAGCCTGGGCTGTTTTCACAGGGGACTCCTGTCTTTGGGCATGTGCACCCCTGCACGAGGCCCCCCCCCCCATTTTACTCCGACCAGGGGCCATGCTAGAGAACCTCCAGCACTAGAATGAAGGCTTCCTCATGGGAAGGAGCCTGAATGTCTTCTTCTCTATCAGCAGAAGGTGTTGCTGGAAAGCCCCCTGACATCTGCCCAAGTTCATGATAAGGGGTCTGCTCCAACCTTCTGTGGAGAAAGGCGTGGGGGAAGGAGGTGCAGGAAGGCAGGCACGTGGGCTATGGGCCAAGGGGGCCGGTGAGGAGGGGCAGGACCCATAGCAGAGCTCTTGAGCCTAGAGGCCCCTGGGTCCCTCCTTGGCTGTGGGCTCCCACTGTGTCCTGATGAATGGCTGCCTCCCCCTGGCTGCCCACTGCTCAGGCCTCAGGACGTGGGTTGGACTGGAAGGACCTGGACATTCACGCAGGGATGAGGCCCATGGCAGGAAGGAGCATGCCTTTCAAGGGTATCTGGGGGCAGGCTCTGGTTGTCGGGAACAGGGAGGCACAGCACAGGGCAGCTAAGACCTTGCAGATGTTCATGGGGCACATCAGGGCCCCTGGCCTTCCTCTTCCTTGTGAAGCTTCCCCGTTCAGGGCAGTGCCACCTCCTACCTGGTCCTTGCTAGGGAGGGGGTAACCCACTGCATCCCAAGACACAAGGGACACACGGCTGATGATGGTCTGCTGTTTGTCTAAGGTGAGTGCCTTCGTGGGGGCAGTTGGGCTCCCCGCCCACGGCAGGACCAGCGCATGTCCAGGCCCTATGGCCCTCGCCCCCAGTCCTCGCCCTGCCGCGGGTCACGTACAGCAGCTGGTGGTACACGGCCATGACAGATGGCACTGACAGGCAGGACGGGAGAAGATGCGGGGGGGAGCCCAGGAGATGCTGGTGGCCGTCGGGAGGAGAGGCAAGCCAGCAGGCTGTTGTCCAGAGCGACAGCTTGCATATGGATAAACACAAGATAATTAATTTTTTAAGGGGAAATAAAGGGAAGCAGAGCTCGCTACCGCTGCCCTGCTCCAGCCCGAACAAAACACGCGGTATCTCCACGTCCTCAGCCAGAGATGTTTCTACGTGAAGGCTGGCGGGTTACATTCAGTTATGAAGCTATTTGTCTACGGATGGACCGCGGTGCTGCTGGTGAGGGCTTGGCTCTCTGGAAAGTGAACACTTGGAAAATAGATAAACGGATACAGACAGCGTGTGACGTGTTCACGGAGTTAAAAGGCGAAGGCAGCGGGCAGCCACGGCATGTGCAAGATGCACCACGGCAAACAAAGCCATTGGGTCCTGCGGGCAGATGTGGCATTCACCGCGGCCCAGCAGGGAGATGAGACAGAAGCCAGAGGAAACCGTGAAGGGGGAGCGGGGGGCCTGTCCAGGTAGGGGAGAGGGGAGCCCGCGCTTCCAGCGCCCCGAGTCCTGCCGGAGAGAGCGCAGAGCTGTGCACGGCAGGGACAGTCACCAACCAGCCACAGCCGGGGCAACCCCATGATGGGGCCACGGATGAGACACGATGGTTTCCCCACACGAGGACCAACAGTGGGAGCCCAGACCGTGCCCTGCAGGGTGCACACGCGTGCCCGGCCGGGTGTGATGAGAGCCTGGGACAAGTGAGCCACCCTCCTGGGCTGCCACGGCCTTTCGTGGACTCAGGCACTGCCCCGCTCCCACGGCCGCTGGCAGACACAGGCCCGTGCGCCTGAGAACAAACGTTGGCTCTCCCTGCGGTCTGGGAAGCAGTGCTGGGCCCAACCCCTGTCCGCTCCTGCCTTCCCCAGGGACTCCCCTCTGCAGGGCAGAGCCCCCAGAGCCCCCCGGCCACTCACTCCTGATTGCTGGTGCTGGGTTCTGGCCAGAGAAGCACCAAGGGCTCCCAGGCTGTGCAGGCCTGGGGGACACCTTGCCCCGCACCGCCTCTGGGCGTCATCGCCACCAACACCCGTCTCTGGACCCCGGTGGCTCCAGGGGACACTGTGTCCAGCCCAGAGTGAGGCTGGATGAAGAAGGCAGGCATGGGAGAACTTGAGGCCGAGGTGCCCACGGCAAGTTGGCCCAGGGGAGGCTTTCAGGGAAGGTCTCCTGGGCACCTCTGTGCTCCCCACTCGCCGTCAGCGCCCGGCACGCTCCTGCTCAGGTGTCCCTGTCCCTCTCTGAGAAGTGTGGACGTCACGCCTGTCACTCAGGCCTAAGGTGGCCTTGCCAAGCTCTGGGTCCCCTCACTGTGAAGAGCACAGGCGCCACCTGAGCCCAGACAGAACCTGAGTGAAGGCCGCACACCTGATGTCGCTTGGTCAACAGACACGAGGAGCACACGGTGGTGGGTGAGAGATCCCCGGGATATGACATGGGCCATCCCGCACCCCGGCCACATGAGGGACACCCACTGGAAATGGAGGGGTGGGGGCAGGGCACGTGGATGGCCGGCTGTTCCTCATACTCTTAGTTTTCCAATTTTTCTGGAAGTTTGAAATTATTTCTAACTAAAACTTGAAAAAAACTGAAAAATCATCTTCAGCCATCCTGACTTCTGAACGTTAAATCCGTCAGTCCTCAGAAGTCTGGGCTGTACTGAGAATTTACGTATCACAGGAGGACTGAGGTTTGTCGGGCAAATGCCGTGTCCAGAGAGGACGTCCACACTTCAAGCAACATGTTCCAAGTCCTGTAAACAGAGTAGATCCTGGCTTTGGAGAGGTCATCCCTCTACACCTCACCACGTGTGGCTCCTCCCCCTCATTAATGACCGAGGTCCCCAACGAGACAACAGGTTAGCTCGTTTCCACTGCGACACGTCATGAAAACAACACAAACATGCTTCCTTCAGGATGGCCTGAGCCTGCCCGGGTTCATGCACACACCATGGTGTCGACGGGCTCCCGGGAAAGACGCGGTCATGAGCAGCTCTCGTGGAGGGGGCGGGGAGCCAGACAGAAGCTGCCCATGGGCCACTCTCCCTCCACAGGTCCCAGGGGTGACAGTGACAAGTGTCTGAGTCCCCACTCTGAAAGGACAGAGGGAGGGAGATGCAAGGTGAGCACGGCCCTCGCGGACAGCACGCACGAGGCCCGAGTCCCATGGTCCGGACGAGGGGTCGGTAACTCAAGCCACGGCTGGCGGTTCCTGCCAGCAAGACCAAGGGAGAGAGGGCAGCCTCCCCGGTCACAGGGCCGCACGTGGGGACCCTGAGGCCTGCATGTGGTCATCGAGGCAGCTCTGTTCTGGATGGTCACACTGATTCCTTGAGCAAGCTGGGAATGTTCTAGAACACACAGCAGGAGCCCTGAATCCCCCGTCTTCACATTTAGACAGAGGTGTGCGCATGGCGCGCCCTGTGGGGAGGGACTCTGGCTCCCTCAATCCCTCCCGTCCCCACGACCCCCAGGGCCACCCTGGGAGCACGCGCTTCCTTCTGTCTGTCAAGGGCCGGGGCTGCAGGTCTTCCTATTTAAGTGCATTCCAGCGCTGAGCGCTCTTCAGACTGCAGCAAGTAAAGACGGACGAGGAGCAGTCAGGCGGGCGGGCTGCACCCCAGCTGCGAAGCAGGTAGATTTCGTTGTAATTGCAGGGGGAGATGCGCCCCGCGTGCGCCTGGAGGCCAGGTCGTCAGGGGAATGGCACCTGGGGGATGCAGAGGCAGGCGATGCTATCTGTGCTGCTGGCTGGGGACTGACCCACACGCCGTGACAGACCAGGGTCCCTCGAACTCCCCCCGGCCATCCCCGACCCAGCAAACAGGCTGGGTGTCCAGACGGGGAGGCAGCCCATCACCGCACGGATTGCAGGCGCAGGTGACCTGGGTGCGAGCACATCCGCGAGGAGGCGGAGGACTGAGGGCGCAGGCCATGAGCCAGAAGAGGACTTCGAGGTGTGGCTGAGGCTGACAGCCTGGAACAGCCGTGTTGAGGCAGAAGCCCAAGCGGAGGGTGGTCAGGGAGCAACAGCTACGGCTCAGGGCCTCCAGGCTGTCCTGGAGAGAGGCGGGCATCTGCCCGAGGGCAGCCGGGAGCCTGCCCACACACCACGGAGGGAGCAAGGGTGGGCCTGGAGGCCTGTCACGACCGGGCAGCAGAGGCCTCGGGAGCCCGGCGAGGTGCCACAGGCTGGCCCTCCACCCGTGGCCCAGGTGAGGGGTCTTGGGCAGACGGAACACCTCCTCCTTTTTTTTTTTTTTTTTTTATTCATGAGAGAGTGAGAGAGAAAGGCAGAGGGAGAAGCAGGCTCCCAAGGAGCAGGGAGCCCGATGCGGGACTCGATCCCAGGACCATGAGATCATGACCTGAGCCGAAGGCAGACGCTCAACCATCTGAGCCACCCAGGAGCCCCGGAACACCTCTTTCTTGACGTCACTGTGAACGTTACCATAGGATTACACCGAAGACCACCCCGTTCCACCCACGTGCTTGGCAGTCTCCTTGACCCCCCACTTGAGACACGGACACCGAGGCCACAGGCGAGGCTGGTGCCGAACGGGAGAGCGGGGCTGCAGGGAGAGAGAAGCTGCTCACTCCTCGTAACAGAGATCCCTTACACGGGAGTCCAGCCTGCACATCGGCTTAGACAAAGTAATCTCTTTTTAAACCAAAATTCCAGCTCCCGCCAACCCCAATGTCTTCTGATTACCATTCGCTTACAACCAGCAGATTGTAACTATTAGAATCTTCACTGAAGACAATAATCTCCCCTTCTCCCCCTGCTTCACCCTTGTTGACTCAGAGTATCGGTGAGAGCCACCACTGAATCCAGCGGCCGGGGGCAACCTTCGTGTTCGGGGCTCTGTGAGTCGCCCACACTGGCCTCGCAAGGCTCCCAGAGCTGGCCACACCTGCCCTGCGTTCACTGAGTGGGGACAGGGCCCCACCCGCACAAGTTTTAACCAGATGGCGCCTACAACAACCTGTTTTAACAAGGGCTGTTCTGAGGCTGTCACGACCCGCCTCGCAGCGTCCCTGGTGGATGGAGCCTGGGGGGCAGCGGGGCAGAGCCCTGGAGGTTGGGCCCAGCACTGTCCACACGGCCACAGCGCCCAGAAACACCACCAGCCAGCACCTTTGCTGTCCAGGAGAAGCCGTCCCCGCGCGGTGGGGGCTCCACCCCCAAAGCAGAGACCCTCACCCTCTGTGGCTGGCCTGCTGGGCGGTCACGGCCACGTGATGCCTGCGTGCTGCCCACTGAGCTCAGAGAGCGGCCCACCTGCGTCTCCTTTTCATTTCCTTCCGCGTGGAGCACATAGGGGCAGCCCTCCTTCTTCGGATTTTCTGAGACGATGCGCACCTCGACGCCCGGCAGCGGGGTCCCCACAGAACCTGCAGAAGAGAGAGGACAGGGCTGCAGAAAAAGCAGACCCCGGAGCCACGGGGACGGGGCTCCGCAGCGGCCAGCACTCAGCCGCCCATGGCCTGCGAGGCCCGGCTCCGAATGCTCCAGAGCTCCATCACCTTGGGGAGGCTCTCGGTGCCCAGGCTGGAGGCTGGGGTCGCTGCCGCATCCCCGCTAGCAGCTGGCTGTGCAGTAAGAGCGCGGGTGACGGTGGACTGTCCCTGGGGGGCACGAAGAGCACCTGTGCCCAAGAAGGCCCAAGAGGGACGGAGCTGTCAGGTGGAGAATGCCACCAGCATTCTGGTTCATTTATTAGGCACCCACGGTATGCTCAGTGTATTCATCCCACCCGGAGCACCCGGTGGAGCGGCCTGCTGCGCCCCGAGTCCCCACGGCCACTCTAACAAAGGACCAATGTGGGCAGAGGTCCTGACACCAAATGCTCAGTAGCTGTGAGGACTCACATCAAGGCTTCAGGCCCTTTATTTAACCACTGGCATCGGTGAGGATCTGGCCTGGGACAAGTGCCTGGAAGGCTGACTCCACAACTCAACATCTGCTCAGGATTCTGGGATCCAAACTCCTGGGAAGGTCAGCTACATGGGCCTCATGTTGCTAGAATATGGCACCACACTGTCCTTGTGGCCTGTCTTCTGCATCTGAGGTCCTGGTGGGGGGAGGTCAGGGCTGTAACCAGAGGGCTCTCGGCTGTCCCACATCCTGGTGGCCTCGTGCCTCCACTCTGGTCAGGAGCCCATGTCCCTGCCTGGTGGGAAACACACCGACCAGCTCCCTCCCGTCCCCGTCTTCTTGTTTTGCTTCCAAAGATTTTAAGTATCCAAGTTAAATCTGTACGAGATACAATTATTCATCACAAAGTACATTCTGCACATTCACGATGCTGGGCAACCATCACTGCCATCTAGTTCCAGAACTTTCCAACACCCAGAAGGAAACCTGAGCCATCAGCAGCTCCTCTACCCCCCACCCCCCGACCCCTGCCTGCGTGGATCTGCCTGCTCCGGACTTTTCCTATGGAGTCTGGGACACGGGCCCTCCCCAGTCCTCTGGCGGTGCATCTGCTCGCAGCCTGTGACCACACAGGCCCCAGCCAGCCGGGAAGCCAGGGAGTTTCATCCCTGGTGTGCAAACGAGACATGGGGACCAGACGCCAGAGCTGGCCTGTGAGCCCGGCCCCTCGAGCCCCGCTTCTGACCTGGCTCAGCACAGGCCCGTGAGGACCAGATGCCACTCCACACACGGTCTAGACATGCTTTCCAGGTGACCTCGAGGTCCTTTCCTTTTCTAGATTAAATAAATGGTCCCTTTCCTTGTGGATTCTTTTCAGCAACAAGCTTAACTCCTCCGTTGTGTACGCTGCTCTCCCCAGGCCTCAGGTCTGTGCAGAAGGGCTGACAGACACGCGGCTTGGTGGCGGGCCAGGGTCCGAGGTCCTCACACTGCTCCCACCTGCTGGTGCGTTATGGCTGGACCTCAGCAGGCTGCCCTCGGTGTTAGTCCTCAGTGACTACAGTGTGTGGTCGTGATTCATGACGAAAACGTGTTAAAGCCACAGAACAGGTTCAGGGGAGAAGGCAGATGGAGTGCAGCAGACGGAGGGGCCAGCCAGGAGGATGCTCAGACAGGCCGTGCGGACCCCACCAGCCGCCTGGCTGCACGGGGCTGCTGCCAGCCCTGACAAGACGACGCTTTCTTGCTGCTGCACCCGGGTGAGGAGCCTCAACACGGAGAAAACACCAAATACTGTCATCGGCTGACTGACTACCTCCTGAGGCTGGTCAGGTGCCTGCCAGAGGCAAAGAGCCCCACAAGTACTTGGCAAGGATTCAGGAAGAATGACTGCTCGTCAACTTCAATACAGAACCTTCAGCAGGACCCCTGGCCTCACTCAGAAATAAAAGCTGGCTCTTCCTCCCCTTTCCTGCTGAGCTCTGCAGCAGTGTGACCCCTGCTCAGCCCTGAGCCCTCCCAGTGCTGCCTCCTGAAGGGTGAACCCTGCTCTCATGCTCCCGTCCCCGGAGGGAAGCAAGCAGAGGCTCCCTCCAGGCCCTGGGGCCACAGGGCTGGTGTGTGGCCCGGGCCACCTCCAGCGGCCTGCAGTGTGGCTGCCGGAGAAGGTCAAGGGCTCCACCCGACTTCACCGGCTTCCGAGCCCGTCACAGTGGTGTGTCCCCAGATGACTCACAACTCTCTGGCTCGGCTACAGATTGGAGCTTCCCACGACCCCCTCCTTGGGCTCAGTGATCTGCTGGAGCGGCTCATAGAACCCAGCAAAGCACTGTGTTTCCTACCACCACCTTTTTTTTTTAAAAAAGATTTATTTATTTATTTGAGAGAGCGAGAATGAGAGAGAGAGAGTGCACATGAGAGGGGGAAGGTCAGAGGGCGAAGCAGACTCCCTGCTTAGCAGGGAGCCTGACGTGGGACCCGATCCCAGGACTCCAGGATCATGACCTGAGCTGAAGGCAGTCGCTTAACCGACTGAGCCACCCAGGCACCCTACCACCACCTTCTTATGAAGGTCATGACTCGAACAGCAGATGGAAGAGATGCCCAGGAAGGGGGGGTCCCCGAGCTCCCGGCCCCCAAGGCACCACCCCCAGCACCTCCTCTGTGCACCAGCGTCCACAGGGTTTTTATGGAAGTCCCACGACTGATGAAGCCACTGGCCACTGACTCAGCCCACAGCCCCTCTCTGCTCCCCAAAGGTTCCACCCCTCCAATCGCAGGTTGGTCCCAGCCCCACCCTTAGGGGCTTTCCCAAGCTTGTATCATGAGCAGAGACTCAGGTGTTGGGGAAGGGGCTTTTGTGAACAGCTAAGACCCCTTGGTGGCGCCCATCACCTAGGAAATCCCAAGGGTTCCAGGACCTCTGTGCCAGGTATGGAGGCAGAAACCCAGCATGTACTTTTCACCAGAAGAGCGTCCCATAACCGTCCTCCTCAATTCGAAAACACGAGCCTCCCCACCCACCGTCCTCCTCCCCTCCTTTCAATCCACTGCTTTCTCCTTCAAATACTCTTTAAAAAGGAAGAAACCCTCCTCCCAGCTTCCTCCTGCTCCTCTCTGGCCTTTCCTCCATCTCAGCAGTGACCGCGGCCAGACATTTCGATCTCGTGGGAATGCTGGCAGAACTGCACTTAATTACCGCATCAGACACCACAATACGACTAAAATCTCCGGGTGCAGACGACGACTCCAGCTTCAGAGTCCGCAGGGACCGTGGGGTGAGGTCCACCCAGAGAAGACGCTGCAGTCTGCGCGGGGCAGCCGTGGCCCCAAACCACGTCCACCCCGCCTGAGCTGGCCAGCAGAGCAGGGTCCACCAGCAGCAGTCCCCTCCTGCACCCGCGGGGACGGCGCCCCCCGCCAGTGTCCCCTGGGCGGCAGTGCCGGGCACGGTCAGAAGTGCATGTCATTCTTCTGCATCTCTGAGACCGTTGTCGGCTCTTCCCAGATAACTGTAGTTGGCCTGTGGCTCTGTCCAGCATCCAGGGAGGGATGCAGCTCTGCAGCTGGCCCCGGGAGAACGGGAACAGGCTGGTAAGGTCCTGGAGTTCCTGTCAGCGCTCCACGGAGCCCCCTGCAGGAGCCATCAGTGCCTCTGATCTCCACCTCCAATTAGAGCGTGATTAGGCCCAGCAGCGCCAGGCCATGAATTATTCATCCCCCTTCATGGTAACCACCAGGGACGCAGAGAAGGAACAGTCGGAAGATCCGACCCAGAGCCTGACACACAACCCTCTCCGTGCAGCAGGTCCCTCTTTCAAGGTTGGCCTTGCCCTGTGTGCCCTGTCAGCTTTGGAGGACCTTTAAACATGGATCCTGGCGGTCACTGCAGTGACCGTGAGGGCAACGCTCAGAGGCCGTGTGGGCAGCCCGAAGGAAGGGGCCGGCCTGAAGCCCTGGGCTGGAAGCAGGTGTGGGGCCCGGGATGGTCGGCCGCGTCCCAAGCGCACCATGAGCCCAGCCCAGGCATCAAGGCGCACGGATGGGACCGAAGGTGCCAAGGAAAGCCCTCAACCAGTTTCTCCAGAAACCATGCCATGTTGCCTTTTTCCAAACCAAAGAACCAGCATTGGTCTCGACTGCTGGAGGCCTGCCTTACAGACAAGGTCATGGGTATCTGATCCTGCGGTTAGGAAGAGCGACTACACCCACACCCTCCTGTTCCTCACAGTGTCCTTAGGGTTCAGAGCCTTCGCGTTCTACCTTCCTCATGGGGGGCTGGAAAAGGCCAGGTCAGTCAGGGACCCTCGCGTGACCTCTGTCCTGACCTCTGCTTTCCCCGGTCACCTGGGGGTTCTCCCTCTACCACCCGGGTGAGCCCCCAGCTGGGCCTCCCTTGTGCCCTCCATCCTGCCCTGGCTCCTGGTCTTGTGTTTGCTCTTCTAATGAACCAGAAGGTTCCCCATGCATCTCTGTGCCACCCTCTCTTCCCCCAAACTGGGCCACGCTGCTGTGCTCGCGGCAAAGCGGGTATCCCGGTGCCACAGTATGAACATCCACTCCGTCACACACCAGCCATGTGGCCCCCGGCAGCTTGTGTGGTTGCCTAAAGCCTCTGTCACCCCTGCATCAGGGGCTGCTCCGGACAGAGTCTCGCCATTTCTGGGGAAGTCAAGTACTTACCTACCTTCTGACCACCAACCCCACTCTGGGTATGACCCATGAGAAATAAAGGCACATGTTCGCAAAGAAGCTGCATACAAATGTTTACAACAGCCCCACCGGTAACTGTCCCAAACCAGACACAACCCAGTGTCCTTCGGCAGCAGAGCAGGCCAAGAAACAGTGGCCTGTCCACACTGTGGAATTCTACTCAGCAAGGGAAAGGAACCCATGCCCACATGGATGAGTCTCAGACACATCCCGCTAAAGGACCCAAAGGGCCACGTCCCGTAGGATTCATTGTACGATATTCCAGAGAAAGCACAAGTACAAGAAGGGAAAACAGGTGCGTGCTTGCCTGGCCTGGGGGGAAGAGGTGCTGAGTGCGCAGAAGGGGAGGGTCTGAGCTGTCAGACCCTTCCGTGTCTCAAGCGTGTGGTCGGCTATGTGTGTTTTCAAAACCTCACAGAACTGAACGTGGGAAGGGAGAACTTTACCGTATGTGCAAGATAAATGGATGCAGGGATATAATCATAGAGCCGGAGTTGTTTTGCTATTACTTCTAAGGGGCTCTCTCCTGTGCTGTGGGCCCGCAGGAGGCAATGTCCCACGCCTGGGAGAGCGCCGAGGTCAGAGCAGAGCACATCCACACCTCAGGCCTGAGCTCTGCTGGCAGATTCCCTGCTGAGGAGCCTGGATGTGCAAGTCTGAGCTAAAGTCAGACGGACCGTCTTAGAGAAGGCTGACGGTAAGCCCAGGGCGGGAAGCTGTCTGCAGCTGCAGGTCATCCAGACACATGGAGGGCCCCCTCACCCGCTGCCCCGACACCCTGCATGGCTCCGGGTGCCTGCACGGGAGGCTCTGGCAGTGGGCCCCGTGGTCTGCACGGAAGCAGCGCCCGCCCCGGGAGGCACGCTGCTGAGCACACGGATCCTGGTTGATCCCATTCTTCCACTTGTCACCTGGGAAGGACACTGGTATGAAGAACACCTATCTGTCCTCTCCCCGACCGGCCACTTGGGAGAAACGTGAGTGCCCACGGGGGGAGAGACCACGCCGCCCGGCTGGCACCCCAAGGAAGTTCTCTGGCCCAGCAGGGCAGCGTCCTCCCCGGCCCAGCCCAGCTGAGGGCTCGGGGCAGAGAGGACACAGCCAGCAGGGGCTGCTCCTACCTGGCATGCGAGTGGCGGTCAGGGGGCTGGACAGGGCCATGCCGATCTCCGTCATCCCGTACCGCTCCAGCAGAGTGTGGCCTGTGATGTCCTGCCACTTCTCCAGCACAGGCAGGGGCAGGGCGGCCGATCCCGAAACCATCAACCTACCAGCACAACAGAGGCGGCCTTAGCTTCTCCGAGGCGGCATCCTCCCCGGCCGGACAACGAAAACCAGACACGCACGCGCTCTTCAGTCAACCAGCACCTCGAGCTCATGACAAAAATGCCAGTCGGGGGCTAGATTTTAACTCTGTTCTCTTAAAAAGAATTTGTTGGGTGCATCTTAGAGTAAAACACGTCTTCAAAAGGAACAGGTAACTGAGGTAAAAAAATAATTTTAGGGTCTTTGGAGGCATGCTTTGCACACGACTGATGTGCCATCTACAAACAACCCTAAATCACAGCAACACTAGTAAGAATTTGGTTTGTGCATAAACTGTTTCCAGGTCTGAGGCGCAGGAGGGCAGACGCAAGGAGACAGCCCATAGCTGCGGCCGCCGGGCTTGCGGGGGTGACACCTGTCACTTCAGCCTGACACACACACATCACACCGAGAGCGTCCCGTTCACACTGGCCAGGCAGCTCGCTCCGTGTGCCATGAAAGGCTGTGCTTGCCTCACAGAGCGTGTCACATGTCCCCGGTCCTGTGAAAACTCACCAAGCCCCCACTTGGGTGTGCACTCTCTCAGGGGCTCACCCTCGAGTGAAAATCAGGGAGAAGCGTGCTGTGTCTGCAGGGTCATGACAGAAAGCAGAACAAGCCTCATGCCACAGAAGGGCCCGGAAGATCCAGCGCATGTGCTGTCAGGAAGGGTGTTTGTCAGCAGGTCTGGGAGGGGCAGGGCAGGGGTGGGTGTGCTCTGCGGGGGAACGGGGGGCTCGAGGGCCAGAACGGATGGGGGCGAGCCCTCATCCTTCTTTTTTTTTTTTTAAAGATTTATTTATTTATTTTGAGAGAGCGAGAATGAGAGAGAGAGAGTACATGAGTGGGGGAGGGTCAGAGGGAGAAGCAGGCTCCTCGCTGAGCAGGGAGCCCGATGCGGGACTCGATCCCAGGACTCCGGGATCATGACCTGAGCCGAAGGCAGTCACTTAAACAACTGAGCCACCCAGGCGCCCCAAGCCCTCATCCTTCTGACTGGACCACAAGACAGACGGAGACAGATTGACAGAGACAGATGCATCTGGACAGACTCAGAGAGAGAGACAAAATACAGACGGACACACAGAAAACACAGCTCGGTCTATCCATCAGAGGGGGTGGAAAATATTGCTTCCTACAACTTGGGACTGTTTTACTAAACATATGTGATATTAGTTGATCTTTAAGGCTTTCTGGGCAGGAGTGCAGACTGTTTCCATTTACCTAATCTTCTCTTCACAAACTGCACGGACAAAATCCTGGACATGAGGCTGGGTGAAATGTCTGTCATAATAATCCATCAGCTTGGCGTAGATTGTAGGCACTGCCATAAATACGTTAATCCGTGGAGTTTCACAACCTAAGAGCTTTTCCCAAACCTAGAACGGAAAAAGGAGGCAGACGTGAGGAAACACGCACACGCTCAGACGCGTCCAGACAGGTCTGGCTCCGGCGCGCTTCTCCTGACGGAGACCGCTCCCTTCCTTCAGCTTTGAAGGCCCGTTCCCGCCTCCCACTACGGGGTGTGTCCCTTAGGTGACACAGCCCCTGGCCTTTCCCATAGGAGCCCCCATGCCGGGGACGCTGACGTCTGGCTGCAGGGTGATCAGCCCCATAGGGAGAGAGCGGGGCACGGCTCCAGCCTCGCGTCTGCCGTCAGGAGAGAGGGCGCACCTCACACTCTCCCAAGTGGCGCCTGCGAGCCTGCGGGTCAGCATGGGGCCTGGCTCTAGCAGACGCGCAGAGACGGAGATTATGTCACAAAGTATCATGTGAATCTTTATTTCGTCTGGTAACCGATGCTTCCTGTGTTAACATAAAGATGCCCCAAGTGCCTCACTGGCTGCAGAGCTTGGGTGCTACCCTGGTCCTTAGGAAAAGCCGGCTCGGCACCCGCATTCTGTGGAGTCTTCCCCACGGTGCTGCCGGATAAGCCTCCGGTCAGGATGCGCACAGACTGAACCTCAGCACCCTAAACATACACAGACCTTGCCCCGTGTTCGAGGGGCCAGTCCCACACACCCTGACCTTAAGTGGAAGGGCTGTGTGGAGGCAGGCGTATCTCTCAGGGGAAAGAATACTGTTCTTTTAAGGACAACAATCAGCACCCCCACATTGCAAGGCATGTAGGGAAACGAGAAAAGGTGACCCATAACTAGGGAGAGAAAGTCAACAGAAGCAGGCCCTCAGAAGATCCAGGTGTTGGAATTATCAGACAAGGAAGTCAAGGTAATTACAGCAAACAGTCCTACGGGGAATTTAGAAGAAAAGATCAACAAAATGAGGGAAAATCAAGGATTTCATTGGAGAAGTGGAAATACAAAAAGAACCATTACAAAACGGGAGACGTATTATCTGAAGTCATGAATTCACTGGACAGACTGAGACACGGATGGGGCGGCACAGAAGGAAGGACAGAAGCAGTGAGACACAGGCTCGCGGAAAAGGTCCATGCCGAAGGGGGACGGGAGGACAGGAAACGGGGCACCGTGAGCGACCTGCGGGCGACCGAGGAAGAACAAGCACAGCATGGCTGTGGGCCTGGCAGGGATGCCCCGCGTCTGTGGGCTCGCGGCCTCACCAAAAACGAGGCAGCGCGTCTCCCCCTCCGAGCTGCAGCATCAACATGCGCTCCTCAGGACCCCGATAAGCTCTGGGTGCAGAAACCGACAAGGTGACCCAGCACTCGCAAGAAGGGTAAAGACCCAAAAGGGTCAGAAGAAGTGTGAAAAGGGAGAATAAGTGTGGAGGACTCACACCTCTCAACTCTCGAACTTGCTCTAAAGCAAGAGTGACCACTGCAGCGTGGTGTGGGTGGGAGCCCAGTCCCCCAGACCCATGGACTGACTGGAGCCCAGAATAAACCAACACATGCACGGCCCACCGTTCGTATGTTTGTAAAGATTCTGTGTACTTATCTATCTTAGAGACAGAGTGCGAGAGCAAGCGAGCGTGGGGGGAGCGGCAGAGGGAGAGAGAGAGAGAGAAGCAGACTCTGTGCTGAGCATGGAACCCGATGTGGGGCTCGATCTCACGACACTGAGATCACGACCTGAGCCGAAACCAAGAATTGGACGTTCAGCCGACTGCGCCACCCAGGCGCCCCATGGCCAATTGGTTTTTGACAGAAGAGAGCCCTCACTTCAGCTGGGGAAAGAATAATCTTTTAAACAGACAGTGCGAGGACAAGTGAACACCCACCTGCAAAAGGATGAATTTTAGACCTTTGCCACATACAAAAATTAACCCAAGGTAAATCAGAGACTTAAATGCATGAGCTCAAACTATAAAACTTCTAGGAAAAAATCTTCATGATCTTGGTTGAGCAAAGATTTCTCAGATATCACACCAAAAGCATGGTCTATGAAATTAACTGATACAATGGATTTCATCAAAACTAAAAACATGTGTTTCAGAAGATACCATTAAGAAAATGAAGAGACAAGCCAGACTGGGAGAAAATATTTGCAAACCATCTCTCTGACGAAAGACTTATATCCAGAATATATAAAGAATGCTTACAACTCGGTAAGATAAATAACCCAATGCAAAAATGGGCAAAAGTTCTAAATGGTTCACCAAGGAAGATATACGGATGCAAATGAGACCATGAAAAAATGCTCAACATCACTGGTCATTAAGGAAGTGCAAACTGAAGGGCCCCTGATGGCAGTCAGTTAAGCCTCCAACTCTTGGGTTTCGGCTCAGGTCGTGATCTCAGGGTCATGTGATCAAGCCCCACCTCGGGTTCTGTACTCAGTGTGGAGTCTGCTTCAGATTCTCTCTCCCTCCCCCCGCCCCCCCCGCTCATGCTCTCTCTCAAATAAATAATCTTAAAAAAGAAAAGGAAATGCAAATTGAACCACAGAACTTACCTTGTATCTACTAGAATGACCGTAACAATAACTTAGAACAGCAACCAGGGCTGGCGCTGATGTGGAGAGACCCTGAGAGACTAGGGTCCTTGCATACTACTGGTGAGAATGTAAACAACAGCCCATGTGGAAAACAGCTTGGCAGTTTCTTAAAATATGAAACATAAACTTGCCCTACAATCTGACAATTCTATTCCTGCACATCTCTGTAAGGTAAATGAGAACATGTCCACACAAGGATTTGGGTGCAAATTTTCACAGTAGCATGATTCTTTTTTTTTTTTTTAAAGATTTTATTTATTTATTTGATGTGAAAGAGACAGCGAGAGAGGGAACACAAGCAGGGGGAGTGGGAGAGGGAGAAGCAGGCTTCCCGCTGAGCTGGGAGCCCGATGCGGGGCTCGATCCCAGGACCTTGAGATCATGACCCAAGCCGAAGGCAGTCGCTTAACCAACTGAGCCACCCAGGCGCCCCACAGCAGCATGATTCCTAACAGACAAAAACCGGAAGCAACCCACGGCCCCTCAGACGGTTCATGGGCAAACAGAGCACGTGTACCCACACAACGGGGTGCTCTTCAGGAACAAAAAAGCAACCACTGCCCCACATGCTACAACACGGGGGAAACTCAGAGCTGTTTTGCAGAAAGAAGGAAGCCAGACATAAAACATTGCAAGCTGCATGACTCTGTGTCCATGCAGTGTCCAGGAAAGGGACTGTGCAGACAAGAGGCAGACGGCGGTCGCCAGGGATGGCGTGGGAGCAGGGAGTGAGACAATGGCAGACAACTCTAGATTTATGAAGAATCACTGAATCATTTACAATAGTGACTTTCACGGTATGCGAGTTACATCTGGACAGAGCTGTAAGAAAGACACAATACGAACACTCGAGGCAAACAAGCTGGGAGACTGGCGAGCGAGAGGGGCACAGACCTGAAGGAGGGCACGGGAAGCACCGCAGAAGCAAAGTCCTGGGAATCACTGCAGAAGGTACAGAATCCTGACTGCTTAAAGCAACAGCAGTGACAGCTCGTCGTGAAGATAAAGGAATAAAGAACAGAGGGCGAAGACACAGAAAGCACAGATGCATTAGAGAAAGCCTTGACACGAGAGTGACCACGAGAAGAAGGGAAGCATAAACCACCCATGTCACAGCTAAAGGAGACATCACCACAGATCCCAGAGGCACTGAAAGCACAAGGAGAGAACTTAGGAGCTACAATGCATTTCACAATTGTGATGAAATGGACAATTTCCTTTAAAAACAAAAACCTACCAGAACTGACACAAGAAACAAAATATGGGGCGCCTGGGTGGCTCAGTTGGTTGGGCGACTGCCTTCGGCTCAGGTCATGATCCTGGAGTCCCGGGATCGAGTCCCACATCGGGCTCCCTGCTCAGCGGGGAGTCTGCTTCTCCCTCTGACCCTCCTCCCTCTCATGCTCTCTGTCTCTCATTCTCTCTCTCGCAAATAAATAAAATCTTAAAAAAACAAACAAACAAAATATAAATATTATAAGTCTTGTATCTGTTAAAGAGATTGAACCCTTAATTAAAAGCCTTGCTGGAGAGGTCTGGCCCGGATGGCTTCCACGGTGAGCTCGAGGAAACATTCAAGGGAAGGACAGCCTCAGCCTTACACCAACATGCCCAGGGAGGAAGAAGCCCTTCACAAGCGGAGCACTGTGTCAACACAGGAGCCCAGCAAGGAGGTCCCAAGAGAGCTGCAGACCTGCACTCCTCATGAACACACATGCAAAAGCCTAAGCAAAATAACAGCAAATCTCATCTAGCAATATATAAAAAGACAACACATCCCAACCTTAGGAAGTCTGCTGCAGGGCTGCAAGGTGAGGAAGTAGAAACATGAAAGACTTAAATCAGCGTAAGTAACCGCATTAGCAGACTACAGGGGGAAACAGATAAATAATAAGTAAATAAAGGGGCAGATGCCGCATGATCACCACAGCAGACATGGCCGTCTGTAATACTCTACCCTCTAAGATAAGAGCTCTCAGCAGACAGGGAGGCACTGGGTACTTCCTTGAGCTAACATACGGCATCTACAAAACCAACAGCTAGCATCACACTTAACCGTGAAATGTTAATGCTTTCCCCAAGACTGTGAATAAGTCAATGATGTCCACACCATTACCGCTTCCAAATCAGTGTTACAAAAGTAAAAACTCTCTGTATCACAAGACACTGTTAAAAAAGACACTGGTTTGTGAAACAAAAACCAGACTGGAGAAAGATTCAAAACATGTAATTCTGACAAAGGCCTTTTATCCAGAATATATAAAGAACACCTACAGATCAATAACAAAAAGCTCAATTTAAAAAGATCTTTGAGTGACCAACAAGCACACGAAAAAGTGCTTAAGAGAAAGGCAAATTTTATAATAAAAATGAGGTAGCACTGCACACGCAGGAAGGTGGCTGAAATGTAAAAAGCCCGAACAACTGAGCGTTGGCAGGGCTGGAGCTTTGGCGCCT